TCCCTCTCACAAAAGAAGAAGGAAGGAAGAAAAAAAGAGAGAAAAAAAGAAAGGAAAGAAAGAATAATTATTAGATAAAATCAAGGAAAATCAGCAAGAAAAACATGGCTACCCATTCCAAAAAAATTAGATCACTACATACTGATTAACTCAGTATATAGAAAAAGCAAACCTTGGTATGTTAAAGACTTAATTATGAAAACAAAAAGGTTAAAACTCTGTATCATTTATTGCTGCACAATAAATTATCCCAAAGGTACTGTTTTAAATAACAAACATTTATCAAGTAACCATTTCTGTGGACCAGAAATCTATGATCTGCTTCGCTAACTGGTTCTAGCTCAGGGTCTGTCATGAGGATGCAGTTAAGACATTGACCAAAGTCACAGTAATTTAAAAGCTTCCCTAAGTCTGGAGAGTCTCTTCCTCAGGTAACATGCTCACATATCTCATGAGTATTTTTCTGATAGTTGAAAAATCTCAGCTTTTTACCACATGGTCCTCTCCATAAGCCTGCATACGTCTCCCTACAACATGGCAGCAGGCTTTCTCCAGAGAATAAGGAGAAAGCTGCAATAGCTCTGGGACTTAGTCTAGGAAGTGACAAAGCATCTGTGGACCTATCTTGAAACTACATAGACTCTTCATAGACTACGAGTATCATCTAGGCCTTGAGATGCAGAACAATTTTTTTTAACAGAACATGAAAAGCATTGTTTTTAATTAAAGAAAAGGTTGATAAGCTAGGCCTTATTTAACTTAAGAATATTTACTCTTTAACACCTTAGAGCAAGGGAAGGGTATAAAATTGGGTAAAGGTATAACAATACACACGATGGGGAAGGATTGATAACAAGAACATATAAAGAACTCCTACGAATCAGTAAGAAAAGCTCAAACTACCTAGTAGATAAATGGGCAATAGGAAACACATAGACTGGTAAACCCAAGAACAGATACTCATCATTGTTCATCTAGAAAATGCAAATCGAGACTGCAAGCTAATACTTGGCACCAGTTTGATCAGCAAAATTTTAATAATCTGATAATACCAAGTGTCAGAGGAGGACATGCATCCAGCAGAATGTATTCCTTGCTGGTGGGGTATAAATTGAAGTCATTACTTTGGAAAACAATTAGCCCAAACAAAATAGAAACTAGGGAACAAGACCATTTTAGACTGAGATAAACGCTACAAAGAAAATAAAGCACAGTCACAGAGAATGACTGGCAGGCCTGCATGTGGGCATAGGCTGTCTTCATGAAGGTTGTCAGGAAAGGAGACAACAATTAACGGGAAACACCTGAATAACAAGAAGGTGCCAGACATGCATTCAGGTGTGATTTATGATTTTGTTCCAAATTTTCTCACCTCTGGTTAAGTTTCTTGACTTTCTCTTTTCAGGATTTTTCGCTATCTCTTTTTCATCATCCTGTTTTTCATCAGACTCCTGGGTTATATATTTTTCCATGTAAGTTTTATAAATCCAGATCTCCTTGTCAACGTACTGCCCAAGATACTGAGCAGGGGCATCTTATGGAAGCTAAGGTGCTTCCTCTTTCCATCTCTCACACTTGAGACAGAGGATATGTTACCTCACTGAGGCCCAAGAAATATTCGTAAGCAACAGAAGGCAATGGGATTTGAACCTGAAGATGGGAGATAGTGAAACCTGTGGAGGAAAGAGGCTTTCTGCCAATTTTCCCTTGAGGTTCGCCTACTTGACTATCTTCTCTCTCCCTGTTATCTTTCCATGATTAACCTTGCCCAGTAAAGAGCTTTGTCAATAGGTTTTTGTGCTATATGAGTAAGATGAATAGAAGGTGAAAGCAAATGAACATGAACGTCTTAAAATAATCAGAAGTAAAGCAAAGTTAGAGTTGATCAAGCTTTCTAGTGAATTTTGAAAATCTAAGATACTAAATTCCTGAAATCTGGAAGATTGCTACTTAAATTATTTAGAACCCTTCAATTGTAGTGACTTTTTTGGGGGGGGAGGGGGTTTGTTTTTTTGCCATGGGGCATGTGTACTTGCTGGAGAGGGACTGAGAGACAGAGAGAAGGAAAGTAAGAAATCACCTCCCAGAGGAAATGGCCATACCACAATCCCTTCTCCTCCATTCTCCTTTTGAGATTTTGGGCCCACAAACCACATGTGCCTCATGTGATTGTCAAGGTGCTTGATCCAGGACCTGAACCATGGGTGGCCATGTGTGAATCTAGTGCCTTAACCACCGCACCACCTGCTGGCATTAGTTATAATGACTTTTACATTAGCTCATTTATAGCTAATATATACATACATATACCTATACAAAGACTTCAAGAAGTTTGTGGAAAATTGGAAGTATGAATAGTTGTAAAAAAATTTAATCTATATATAATTTTTATAACACATTTTTCCATGAACTTTTTGAAAACCATATATAATACATGCTTATAGAATAAAAAGCCCATGACAAGATTGAGGGCTTCAGTTAAGGTTGGATCCAGAAGCCACAAAACAATGTCACTAGGACTTCATCCCTTTTTTCTCTTTCTCCTTAAGGCCATTCTTCTTTTAATAGCAAGATGGCTGCCACAACCTAAATTCCATCCTACCAGATTAGCAACCTTAACAAAATGAAAGTCTTTTACAACAGCTCCAGCACTGAAGTCGAGAGAAAAATAAACTGGTCTATCTGAGGTCAGTGCCTACCTCTGTCCCACAATCAATGTAGTCAAAGGGACGAGAGTATGCTGAAATTGATGAAGTGTGAAGTATATGTTCAACCCCTTCTTCAAAGATAGCGGAGATAAAAGGAGAAGAAAGAGATAAAGGAGTCAACTCCACCAAAATTATAAGGAATATGTTTCCCATTGGATCAGGGGACTCTATTTCCAAGGCAGAAGAAAGGGATCCTGGTCAGGTGAGGGAAGATTTCTCCTTAATCATTAAACTCCAGCAGTCAAACAAACTCTTAAAACTATAGCTCATGTCATTTATCTTACTACCAGCAAAAGTTGTAACTTTGCAAAGTCATAGATTAACATACTGAAAACTAATGTAAATTATTGAGTCTCTAGAGTTGAAATAAACAAAGATTCTCAAATAAATAGCATATGACTGGTATAAACTGCTTCACAAACTCAAGGTAACTTATACATGGTCATACCTCTTATTCTTCCAATTAGAATTGCTGAAGCACTTGCATGCATTATTAACAGGATAAAATCAAACCCCCTTTTGAAGCCTTCCCTTCCTCCTGCATTGTCAGGAGCCTCAACAGCTCTGAAGTCTGAGGGCAGGGAGTGGTTATTCTGGCTTCCACACCAGCCAGGAACAATCTTGAAACTCCTTTGCCCACTGTCATTACTTCTTGAGGCCACATGGTGTCACTGTTAAAAAGTGGTACTACACAAGATGATCCCATAACTTATCCTATTAATTGGGACACATTTGATAATAGATAATATGCCAGGGTAAGAGAAATCAAACAGGGCTGTATTAAAAAAAAAATAAAACTGAACTATGGTTACTTTATATGTCATTCAAGATTCCGCTTACCCTGTGTATTCTGCTGAGGGAGGTGGGTCCTGTTCCTCAGTGTTATGTGCAGCCAAGGTGCCCCATGCTTAAATTCCAAGCACCAAACACAAGGTACACCTCTCCTTCATTCTGGTACCCTGCCCTCTGCTTCAAAGTCAGGTTCCTAGAAGTCAAGATCAATTTGGGATCAGCAGTTAGCATAATGGCTATGTTGCTGGACTCCCATGTAACTGATTGCGGTTCGAGTCCTGGACCCGGTGGCTTAAACTCATGCCAGGTGCATGTTCATGTGTTCCCAAGATCCCGAGAGGAGAATGGAGGAGAAGGGATTGTGGCATGGCCGTCCCCCTGGGGTTGATTTCTCGCTTTCTGTCTCTCTGTCTCTCTTTCTTTCTGGCAAGTGCACGTGCCGCATGCATTATTAACAGGATAAAATCAAACCCCCTTTTGAAGCCTTCCCTTCCTCCTGCATTGTCAGGAGCCTCAACAGCTCTGAAGTCTGAGGGCAGGGAGTGGTTATTCTGGCTTCCACACCAGCCAGGAACAATCTTGAAACTCCTTTGCCCACTGTCATTACTTCTTGAGGCCACATGGTGTCACTGTTAAAAAGTGGTACTACACAAGATGATCCCATAACTTATCCTATTAATTGGGACACATTTGATAATAGATAATATGCCAGGGTAAGAGAAATCAAACAGGGCTGTATTAAAAAAAAAATAAAACTGAACTATGGTTACTTTATATGTCATTCAAGATTCCGCTTACCCTGTGTATTCTGCTGAGGGAGGTGGGTCCTGTTCCTCAGTGTTATGTGCAGCCAAGGTGCCCCATGCTTAAATTCCAAGCACCAAACACAAGGTACACCTCTCCTTCATTCTGGTACCCTGCCCTCTGCTTCAAAGTCAGGTTCCTAGAAGTCAAGATCAATTTGGGATCAGCAGTTAGCATAATGGCTATGTTGCTGGACTCCCATGTAACTGATTGCGGTTCGAGTCCTGGACCCGGTGGCTTAAACTCATGCCAGGTGCATGTTCATGTGTTCCCAAGATCCCGAGAGGAGAATGGAGGAGAAGGGATTGTGGCATGGCCGTCCCCCTGGGGTTGATTTCTCGCTTTCTGTCTCTCTGTCTCTCTTTCTTTCTGGCAAGTGCACGTGCCCTATAGAAAAAAACTCTCCAAAAGAAAAAAAAAAGGTCAATTCCAGGTTCTGCCTCCCTCCCTCCTTGCCATTCCAGGAAGCCCTCCATAGTCTAGGGAGTCAGCCTGCTCTCTAGAGCTCCACCCCTCTAAAGGTCAAGAGTCCTTCCTTCTAAAGATTCAGGTCTCAAGACACAGATCTGATGACACCCTCCAAGGAAGAGTTCATGGTGCCCACCTTTTCTACCAGGCACTTTCCACACTCTTCTAGAACTTCTGTACCTGGAGGAGAGAAACATTAGTTTATTAAAAGGCAATATTAGAGTAGCTATTCATTTTATAGTCAATATAGGTTTTTCTAAGCTGTTACCAACTCGCCAGTTTAGGGAACATCTCTATATATCTCATTTAAAAATATCTTTTGTTCAGAATGTTTTGTTCATCTAGCTCATGATTTGAGAAAAGGAGAAGAAAGAATATTTGTTAAATCCTTAGTATTTCATCATGTTGGGAATATAAAGAAGAAGACATAATATCTATCCTTGAGAAGGTGGGAAGGAGAGACACATTCATGTGTACATGATCAGCCCTATAATAGAAAAATAAAGAGGGAATTAGTTCCCCGTGTCTATGTACAATGAGAAGTGACACTAGATCCATGGATTATTCTAAACCAAGAAGAAAATGACATGCCACACACAAAATAAAAAGACCATGCCTTGACGAAGGCCGTTCTTTACTGAAGGTCTAAAATCACCTTTTGTCCTAGATGAATATTTTAAATACAAGGAACTCAATGGAAGCTGTCTTAGTCTATTATTGTGTTGCTAACAGAAATACCGAAGAATGGGTAATTTATAAAGAAATAGAGGCAGGGGGTGTGGTGGTTGAGGTGCTAGACTCCCACCTGGAAGACTGTGGTTTAAGTCCTGGACCCGGTGGCTTGGAAATCATGCTGAGCACATGTAATGTGTGGACCCAGAGTCCTGAAGGGAGAATGAGGAAGAAGGGATTGTGGTGTGGATATCCCCCTGGAAGGGTGAGTTCTCACCTTCCCTCTTACTGTCTTTCTGTCTTTCTCTGGTGAGCACATGTGCCCTATGGCAAAAACAAAAAAGGAAAAGAAAAAAAAAAGAAAGAAAGAAAGAGAAAAAGAAAGAAGAAATAGAGGCTTTTGACTCATATTTCTGGCAGCTGAAAAGTCTGAGGGTATAGACCTGGCATCAGGCCTGCACCAACATGGCCAGTGGAAGTACAGAGGATGGCGGGCATATGCAAAGAGACAACAACTGCAGTGGCTTTTTTGTTTTATTAAGAACAACCAGTTCTCGTGAGAACTAACCTCATCTCACAAGAGCTAGAACCCGCTGGGTCTGGAGAGCTGTCACTAATCTATTCACTAGAGTGTTGCAATCACCACGCTCCAATTACTGCCCACTAGGCTTCACCACCTCTCAACACCAAATTCCAAAACATAAAACTTTTGGGAACAAACTATTATCTGAACCATAGCTGAAGTACCAAAAAATGAGCAACTTTCTCCATTTTTAAATTATCTGGAGTTAGTAAATACTTTTTTTTTTTTAAGTTTTTTGTCATAGGGCACAAACACTTGCTGAAGAGAAAGATTCTGAGAGGAAAAGTGAGAAATCACCCTTAAGGGAGATGACAACACCACAGTCCATTCTCCTCCTGGGATATTGGGCATACACACACACACACACATGCACCTAGCGTGATTTTCAAGCCGCCAGGTCCAATACTTGAACTGCAGTTAACCATGTGAGAGTCCAGCACCTTAGCCATTATGCGACCTGCTGACCCAGGTAAATTCTATATACCTCAAGGCTTCAGAGAAAACTAAACCCACTCAATGGTCACTCATTGGGTTCACACTGGTGATTAGTGTAATGCACCGATACTGGTACTCAGACGATAAAATAACTGAGTTGTTTATACATTACCCTAAATGGAAATATCCGATACCATGTCAGGGCCTTGAGGGTTCTCAATGAAGGTCTGCATTTTGTGCCCCATTTCTTCCTACACCAAATAGCCACAGAATCCTAGGATTCAGTAGAACCCGGCAAGTTATCCGTGCTGGGCAGCTAGTGCTATGTTAAACTGGACTTCAGTCTTGGCCGAGGGAAAGACTATCCCTCTGAGGGTGAGTTCTCACTTTCCCTCTCACTGTCTTTCTGTCTTTCTCTGGTGAGCACATATGCCC